CAACCCAACTGAGCAACTGACCACCCAATGAATGGCCCAACTGACCAACAGACCATCCAATAGACCAACTGACCACCCAATGGATGACCCAACTGACCACCCGATGGACAACCCAACTGAGCAACTGACCACCCAATGAATGGCCCAACTGACCACCCAACTGAGCAACTGAACACCCAATGGATGACCCAACTGACCACCCAACTCACCAACTGACCACCCAACTGACCAACTGACCACCCAATGAATGACCCAACTGAGCAATTGACCACCCAATGGATGACTCAACTGACCACCCGACTCACCAACTGACCACCCAACTGACCAACTGACCACCCAATGGACAACCCAACTGAGCAATTGACCACCCAACTGACCAACTGACCACCCAATGGATGACCCAACTGACCACCCAATGAATGACCCAACTGACCACCCAATGAATGACCCAACTGACCACCCAACTGATCAATCAACCATCCAATTGACCAACCAACCACTCAATCACTCAACCAACCACCCAATCACCCAACCAACCACCCACCCAACCAACCAACCACTCAATCACCCAACCAACCCCCCCCCCCCCCCCCCCCCCCCCCCCCAACCCACCCGGTCTTGGCGAAGTTGGTCCAGTAGGTCATGACGACGGCGCTGAGCATGACGTCGTTCTTGGAGAAGTTGCAGGGGAAGAGGTCGGTGGCTCCCACCATGGGCACCCCGAACACGTAGGGGATCTCGTCGCCGTGCGCCGCGTCCGCCCACTCGGGCCGGGCGTCGGTCTGGCAGTGGTGGTAGAAGGTGTAGAAGTAGACGGGCGACTGGTACTCGGCGTGGAGCTTGGCCGTGGCCACCGCCGGGGCCACCCACTGGTGGTCGGTGAAGAGGGCCAGCAGCGTCTTGCGCCGCATCTCGCCGTTGTCGCGGTCGGCCCAGTCCGTGTACATGAACTTGATGGTCTCGCGCAGGATGTCCTTGCCCTCGGGGTACCCGTACAGGTTGTCCACGAAGTTGGACACGGTGAAGTCGAAGTAGGAGGCCGAGATGCCGTCCTCGCTCTCCAGCGAGTCCTCCACGAACTTGAGCCCCTCGCCCTGGTTGACGCCGATGAGGATGTCGTAGTTGAGGAACTCGCCCTGCTGCATCAGGATCTCGGGGTCGTCGGGCACCACGTCGCCGTCCACCACCGGCCCGAAGGCCACGTGGTAGCGGGCGGGCTGCACGTCCTGGTCCACCAGGGCGCGGAAGGGCTGGCGCCGGAGGCACTCCACGGCCGCGCCCGTGTCGGCGCGCTCGCAGCCCACCTTGGCCGCCAGCAGACGGGTGTACTTCAGGGGCTGGTAGTTCACCGACCAGCTGGCGATGGCCGTGCCGCTCTGAGCGATGGCCTTCTGGAACAGGCCTGGGG